GATTTCGTGTATAGGGCAAGGAGGAATAACATCTTGTAGGAGTGAGGAAGAGCCAGTTGTGAGTGTGGGGGAAGTTCGTGAGGCAGTAGGTAAAATGAAAGGGGGTAAGGCAGCCGGGATTGATGGGATAAAGATAGAAATGTTAAAAGCAGGTGGGGATATAGTTTTGGAGTGGCTGGTGCAATTATTTAATAAATGTATGGAAGAGGGTAAGGTACCTAGGGATTGGCAGAGAGCATGCATAGTTCCTTTGTATAAAGGCAAAGGGATAAAAGAGAGTGCAAAAATTATAGGGGGATAAGTCTGTTGAGTGTACCTGGTAAAGTGTATGGTAGAGTTATAATTGAAAGAATTAAGAGTAAGACGGAGAAAAAGGATAGCAGATGAACAAGGAGGCTTTAGGAAAGGTAGGGGGTGTGTGGACCAGGTGTTTACAGTGAAACATATAAGTGAACAGTATTTAGATAAGGCTAAAGAGGTCTTTGTGGCATTTATGGATTTGGAAAAGGCGTATGACAGGGTGGATAGGGGGCAATGTGGCAGATGTTGCAAGTGTATGGTGTAGGAGGTAGGTTACTGAAAGCAGTGAAGAGTTTTTACGAGGATAGTGAGGCTCAAGTTAGAGTATGTAGGAAAGAGGGAAATTTTTTCCCAGTAAAAGTAGGCCTTAGACAAGGATGTGTGATGTCACCGTGGTTGTTTAATATATTTATAGATGGGGTTGTAAGAGAAGTAAATGCGAGGGTCTTGGCAAGAGGCGTGGAGTTAAAAGATAAAGAATCACACACAAAGTGGGAGTTGTCACAGCTGCTCTTTGCCGATGACACTGTGCTCTTGGGAGATTCTGAAGAGAAGTTGCAGAGATTGGTGGATGAATTTGGTAGGGTGTGCAAAAGAAGAAAATTAAAGGTGAATACAGGAAAGAGTAAGGTTATGAGGATAACAAAAAGATTAGGTGATGAAAGATTGAATATCAGATTGGAGGGAGAGAGTATGGAGGAGGTGAACGTATTCAGATATTTGGGAGTGGACGTGTCAGCGGATGGGTCTATGAAAGATGAGGTGAATCATAGAATTGATGAGGGAAAAAGAGTGAGTGGTGCACTTAGGAGTCTGTGGAGACAAAGAACTTTGTCCTTGGAGGCAAAGAGGGGAATGTATGAGAGTATAGTTTTACCAACGCTCTTATATGGGTGTGAAGCGTGGGTGATGAATGTTGCAGCGAGGAGAAGGCTGGAGGCAGTGGAGATGTCATGTCTGAGGGCAATGTGTGGTGTGAATATAATGCAGAGAATTCGTAGTTTGGAAGTTAGGAGGAGGTGCGGGATTACCAAAACTGTTGTCCAGAGGGCTGAGGAAGGGTTGTTGAGGTGGTTCGGACATGTAGAGAGAATGGAGCGAAACAGAATGACTTCAAGAGTGTATCAGTCTGTAGTGGAAGGAAGGCGGGGTAGGGGTCGGCCTAGGAAGGGTTGGAGGGAGGGGGTAAAGGAGGTTTTGTGTGCGAGGGGCTTGGACTTCCAGCAGGCATGCGTGAGCGTGTTTGATAGGAGTGAATGGAGACAAATGGTTTTTAATACTTGACGTGCTGTTGGAGTGTGAGCAAAGTAACATTTATGAAGGGATTCAGGGAAACCGGCAGGCCGGACTTGAGTCCTGGAGATGGGAAGTACAGTGCCTGCACTCTGAAGGAGGGGTGTTAATGTTGCAGTTTAAAAACTGTAGTGTAAAGCACCCTTCTGGCAAGACAGTGATGGAGTGAATGATGGTGAAAGTTTTTCTTTTTCGGGCCACCCTGCCTTGGTGGGAATCGGCCGGTGTGATAATAAAAAAAAAAAATAATAACTGTAAAATAAGTCACCATGGGCCCCAAGAAAGCTTCTAGTGCCAACCCTGTGGTAAAAAGGGTGAGAATTAGTATGGAAATAAAGAAAGAGATCATTGCAAAGTACGAAAGTGGTGAGCGTGTCTCGGAGCTGGCCAGGTTGTATACCAAACCCCAATCAACCATCGCTACTATCTTGGCCAACAAAACGGCAATCAAGGAAGCTGTTCTTGCAAAAGGTGCAAGTTTGTTTTCAAAACGGAGATTGCAAGTACTCGAAGATGTTGAGAGACTGTTATTGGCGTGGATAAACGAAAAACAGATAGCAGGAGATAGCATCTCTCAAGCAATCATATGTGAAAAGGCTAGGAAGTTGCATGACGATTTAATTAAAAAAAAAATGCCTGCAACTAGTGGTGATGCAAGTGAATTTAAGGCCAGCAAAGGTTGGTTTGAGAGATTTAAGAATCGTAGTGGCATACATAGTGTGATAAGGCATGGTGAGACTGCCAGTTCAGACCAAAAAGCGGCTGAAAAATATGTGCAGGAATTCAAGGAGTACATAGAGTGGGAGTTGTCACAGTTGCTCTTTGCTGATGACACGGTTCTTTTGAGGGATTCTAAAGAGAAGTTGTAGAGGTTGGTGGATGAATTTGGTAGGGTATGTAAAAGAAGAAAATCAAAAGTGAATATAGGAAAGAGTAAGGTTATGAGGATAACAAAAAGATCAGGTGAAGAAAGACTGGATATCAGATTGGAGGGAGAGAGTATGGAGGAGGTGAATGCATTCAGATATTTAGGAGTGGACGTGTCAGCAGATGGGTCTATGAAGGATGAAGTGAATTACAGAATTGATGAGGGAAAAAGGGTGAGTGGTGCACTTAGGATTCTGTGGAGACAAAGAACTTTGTCCGTGGAAGCAAAAAGGGGAATGTATGAGAGTATAGTTGTACCAACACTCTTGTATGGGTGTGAAGCATGGGTGATGAATGTTGCAACGAGGAGAAGGCTGGAGGCAGTGGAGATGTCATGTCTGAGGGCAATGTGTGGTGTGAATGTAATGCAGAGAATTCGTAGTTTGGAAATTAGGAGGTGTGGGATTACCAAAACAATTATCCAGAGGGCTGAGGAGGGGTTGTTGAGGTGGTTCGGACATGTAGAGAGAATGAAACAAAATAGAATGACTTCGAGAGTATATAAATCTGTAGTGGAGGAAAGGTAGGGTAGGGGGTCAGCCTAGGAAGGGTTGGAGGGAGGGGGTAAAGGAGGTTTTGTGTGCGAGGGGCTTGGACTTCCAGCAAGCTTGCATGAGCGTATTTGATAGGACTGAATGGAGACAAATGGTTTTTATTACTTGACGTGCTGTTGGAGTGTGAGCAAAGTAACATTTATGAAGGGATTCAGGGAAACCGGCAGGCTGGACTTGAGCCCTGGAGATGGAAAGTACAGTGTCTACACTCTGAAGGAGGGGTGTTAATGTTGCAGCTTTATAATTGTAGTGTAAAGCACCCCTCTGGCAAGACAGTGATGGAGTGAATGATGATGAAAGTTTTTCTTTTTCGGGCCACCCTGCCTTGGTGGGAATCGGCCGATGTATTAATAAAACAAAAAAATAACAAGTCTGATTAGAAACAGTATTTTGCATTGCCATACTCAAAGAAAGGACCAACTTTAGCTCTGAGGTTAGTTCACCAAAATGAGACACTGATGTAAACGTTCATCCCCCCCCCCATCCCCCATATCAACATTTTCCTCATCACTTGTAAATACTTGCCCCTCATATCAACACTTGCCCCTTATGTAAACACTTGTCCCTTCATGTAAATGCCCTTTTTGTCAACACTTGCTCCTCACATAAACATATGCTCCTGTGGTAGTGTGTCACTAGCATACAATTTTGTTTTGCCCAACCTGCCTACAAAAAAGGATACGAAAGGCATCTGGCGAAGTTAGACTAGCAAAAGAATAGTACAGTATAACACATCATATAAGTGACCAGCTACAAACAATAGCCAAACAAGTCAAATGTTTAACCCTTAAACTGCCGAGAGTCTAACATAAACGTGCCTTCAGTGCCTGAGGTTTGGAAAAAAAATATAAAATTATTTTATCTTACCAAAAAATTCTTCCTGATTTTAGAAATGTGATAAGAATGAGTGAAATTTGAAGGTGATGCTGGTAATTGGTTTATGGCAACATGAGTGCTTGCCATGTGGAGGAAGTTGCAGTTTTAACATTTTATTTATGATTTTTTTTCAGTTTTTCTTATTTTCTGGTAGATCATATGTTTTGCACCTATATCTATGTTTTCATATCATATTTCACTTATACTTATTGTTCACTCACACTAGACAAATGTGTACACTAAACAAATTTAAACAAATGTAAGGAAATGTAAATGGCATTTACTGGAACCCACACACCATTTCCTTTTATACTGTGTACACCTACAGCACAGACTCATTTTCTCTGATGCAGTCCTAACCAGGCCTATCAAGACCATTTTGAAGGCCCTAGAATCTTGACAAATATACATCAATGGCATTTTTCCAGTTGGCTTAAATTTACGTTATCAACAGCTTAAGGGTTAATAGCCACTTTATTTTATACATATCACAAAACAAAATCAATAACCAATAATGCAGTGGTAAAAAAATTAATACAGTACTAATAATCAGTTAATATTTCTACTAGTAGAAAGCACAAAAAATAAATCTCAAAATGCACTCAAATTATGTACTGTATTATGAAAACTTAAAATGCACATTTAAAATACTAAATACATATGTACAAAATTAATTTCTTAGAAAACTTCCTATTCTAAGAATATAAAGAATAATCATTGTATAATACAGGTACAACATCGATTTTCCGGACCTTTGGTTCCAAAGCCTTTCCTGATTACTGATTTTTCTGCCTGTAGAGAGCACAGTATTCCTTGGTCTTGGAGTTGGATAAGTGACATACAGTTTGGTGGTAAGTATACTGCCGCAGGAATTTCAAGCTCCTGCTCGTAAATTTGTGTGGTTCCAGACAATCAGTGTCCAGAAAATTGATGTTGTACCTGTACCATTAATCTAATAAAATACAACATTCAATTAAAATTTATTATTTATTTATTGAATTAATACCTTTACATTTTCTTTATGTATAATATTTTTTTTTAACTTCCTACCCTCAGGCTGTTGCATTCCTGGAGTCAGCGCTCGCAGAAAATCATCTGGAGTCATGAAAACCTCAGTCCTTTCAACTCCACTTGCAGTCCTTTGTATTAACTTGTATGTAGCAAAGTAGCGGAAAATTTTATCCGGGGTTGAATATGCTCGAATTCTGTTCTCGTACTCTATGATCTACGGCAGAAGAAAAGAAATGGCTTCTATAAAACTAAAAATAAACTTTCTCAATCACTGAAAAGTGACAAGGATACATGCTGCACTTAAGAGGATCATGCATATCTAGCAAATATATTCAACAAAACTCACAGAAAAAAATATTGTATTGTGCTGCATAGTACATAAATCACAGGGATGGTAGAAAAAATCAATTACACATAAAATAGGAAGATTCATCGGTAAAACATACTAACTAGGTGCACTGTTAAAACCAAAATTTTAAGTAAAAAGACAAGAGCAAATGCTTCCTCTATAATGAATGACATTAGATGGCAACATTTAACCAGTTATACCTTTGATATGCAAATGAAATTATATCAGTGAGAAATGTTTCAAGTCAAAGGTTACCATATTCTGGATGGACAGAAAAAGGCCTACACAAGCAATTCAGCTAATACAATGGGAATCAGAGAACTTCTTATTCCAATAAGTAACCATGATTAATATATTTAGATGGGAGAAAGCTAGTGCAAGCTTCTCTTACGATTTTATAACATATACAATGAATGCTGCAAAAATTCTGGATTGAATAATTATATAAATCATTTTATCCTTACTGTTTATAATTTCCTTCATAGAACAGTTTTAGATTCTTTACTTGACACAGCATTTGATCCCTATCGAGATAATCTGAAAACCACTTTGGCAGGTGGACGGAAACAATGAAAGCATTACTAGAAACAGTACTGTTTACAACCTAAGTGCCCTGGAGGTAAGGCTTGGGCTAAAGAAAAAAGCGAGTATATTTTCATGCTTACATTTCCTGTTTGACCGTAGAAACGCAGAAAAAATCTGTAAGAAAACCTACATACCTTTCATCAGAATACATTTTTGTATAGAATGTCATTATATAATCATGGATGCATTACTGGAAAAATTCCTATGCAGACTTTTTATTAACACCAAGCTGTGAAGTAAATACCATACATGCACCTGTGGTGTGTGTGTACAAACCATGAACAATAAAGCACAATAAAATAAAATACAATATAGCGGGGATACTTAGTAATGACAGATGTCTAGTTGCCTGATGAATCATGTCAAAATATACACAAATAACCCGCACATAGAAGAGAGGAATTTACGCGGTTATTTGTGTATTGCTCTAGTTATGGTAATGTGGCTTTTTTTGTTATTCATGTCAAAATATGATGATGATTTTAATCTTGACATTCTTACCACTCACTGAGGCAAAGTGACCCAAAAAGAAACACTTTCACCATCATTCACACATAATCACTGTTTCTGCAAAAGCACCCAGATACAACAGTTCAGATGTCACTTCAAACAGCCATATCCCAAACCCCTCATTGAAAGTGCAGGCATTGTACTTCCCACCTCCAGGACTGAAGTTCAGCTAACCGGTTTCCCTGAATCCCTTCACAAAATATTACCCTGCTCACACTCCAACAGCTCGTCAGTACCAAAAACCATTCATCTCCACTCACTCCTATCTAACATGCTAACACATGCCTTCTGTATGTCCAAGCACCTTGCACACAAAACCTCATTTACCCCCCTTCCTCCATCCTTTCCTAGGACGATCCCTACCCCTCCTCCCATCCACTGCAGATTTATGCACCCTCTAAGTCATCCTATTTTGTTCCATCCTCTCTAAATAACCCCCCTTCAGCCCTCTGAATAATTCTTTTGGTAATTCCACACCTCCTCCTAATTTCCACACTATGAATTCTCTGCATAATATTTACACCACACATTGCCCTTAGACTAGACATCACTGCCTCCAACCTCCTCCTTGCTGCAGCATTTACAACCCATGCTTCACACCCACATAAGTGTTGGTTCCACTATACACTTTGCTCCCATGAATAACATTTTTTGTCTCCACAAACACCTCAATGCACCACTCATCTTTTTTTCCTTCACCAATTCTATGGTTAACCTTGTCCTTCATAAACCCATCCACTGACAAGTCTACTCTCAAATATCTGAACACATTCACTTCTTCCATACTCCCTCCCTCCAATGTGATATCCAATTTTTCTTTACCTAACTCATTTGATACCCTCCTCGCCTTACTCTTATCTATGTTCACTTTCAACTTTCTTCCTTTACACACCCTTCACTGCACCTTGTATGTATATCTATTATCAAATCTATTTCAAAACTATATTTCAACATTATACAATTAATTTGGTACTGTAATGTAACTTACTCTAAACACAATACAATACCAATAATGTTTCTCTGAATATAAAAATGTGAAAACAGCATTAGAAAATATAGCTACAAGTTAAAAATTAAGTGATATGTCAAAATTAAATCACGTACAAAATACTACCCATGGAAAATAAACTTGAGGTTGGAACATTCCACATCATAGGAATCATGACTCACGAAATCATAATGACATGATTACAAACAAATCATACCACGGGCGGAGCTTGAACCCGCAGGTAGAGAAACCGTGGTATGGTTTATCATAAGAATCATTTGCAAAAATTTTCACATTAACAGTGTGCTTTTTAACCCTTTCAGGGTCCAAAGGCCAAATTTCGAAGTGCACACCAGTGTCCAAGAATTTTCAAAAAATAATTTTGTAATTTTTTCTTATGAAATGGTAGAGAATCTATTATATTCTGAAGGTAATAAAACAAAAAGTACGAAATTTGATGAAAAATTGATGAAATTATGCTCTCGCAAATTTTGATGTGTCAGCGATGTTTACGCATCGGCGATTTTGCCGACTTTGACTCCCATTTTAGGCCAATTACTTTATTCCAGTTGACCAAATTCTTAGCTATTTCACTAGTATTACTTCTGTTCTATCGATTGAGCACAAGAAATCACCAACTCAACTGTTTCAACTACAAAATAAAGTGATTGGAAATTGCTATCTTGGCCAATTTCGTGCAAAGTTCAAAATATTCCAATTTCAAAACAGGGTCCAGAATAAACAATACAGACATTCCTGGCACTAAACTAACATTTCCTCTGTTCATTAGTTATGTTTTCAGGCTTTACAAATGAATTCCATTTTTATTTTTAATTCACATAATGAATTTTTATTCAAACCAAAAAATGGAAGACTTACACTCATGCAATATTGTAATAATTGCATAAATAATATCAGCACATTTGTGAATGTATATTAGACCCACCAGCTGGCATGTATTAGATGTGTGAGGTCATTTGTTTACTCTCAAACATCGGCAAAAGTTTAACATTTCCGCTACTTTGAGCTCAGTTTCAAGCCATTTTCAGTACTAAAACTAAGCAAAATCATCCCTATTTCTGTAATATATCTTCCATTCTATCAAATGAGACCAAGAAATCGCAAATACAACTATATAAAACTTACGAAAAAAACACTGCAAAGTTGATGTTTTAATAAAAAATTAGTCTCAGTTTTTTTTCTCTTATTATGCACTGTGTGCTGCAGGATTTGTTTTATGTAGTGCACACATACCACATAGATGTATTCTCTCATATCTAGGCCCAAATTTACCGTTCACAGCTTATCAGAGTGAGCTGAGCTCATGACGTAGATCTACGGTTTGGACCCTCAATGTACAGCCATAGATCTATGGCATGGACCCTCAAAGGGTTAAGGCATACTGAAGAAAGAAAATGTATTTTATTGCAACTGAAACACTGGTGGTGTAAAAGGCAAATAACCATTCCTCTATACTAAACACACCAATAGAAGAGCTAGCAACAGGTACAAATAATGGTATACTGCTTATCACATGGTCTGAAACAAAGGCAAAATGCCAAAACATTATCTCTTTCACTGTCCAGACCCTCAAAATTAATATTGCCCTCAATGTCCACTTTAAAAAAAATCTTTTAATGTGGTAGAGATTCTTTTTCTGAAGGTATGACACCAAAACAAAATTTGATGGAAAACTTACGAAATTATGCAGGCGCAAACTTAGTGGTATTGGCACAATTTACACATCGGCATTTTCACCCAATGAGAGTCCTATTTTAGACCAGTTCCAATGTTTCATTTGATCAAATTCTTAGCCATTTCACTACTATGCCTTTCATTCTATCGATTGAGCACAAGAAACTGCCCATTCAATTATTTCAACTATCCTAAAAAGTGCACAGAAATCAGTAATTTGGCCAATTTTACATAAAATTAAAAAAATACCCATTTTAAAAATAGAGTCCACAATAAACAATAAAGACATTCCTGGCACTAAAATAACATATCCTCTGTTCATTAGTCATGTTCCCAGGCCTTTCCTATATTACACTTGCCTTCAATTCTGAATCCTTATTTACACAAAAATAGAAGATTTACTCTTATTTCCCATATAATAAAATATAACCAGGTTTATAGGAGGTTCTTACCCGTCCTCTAGAAAACTGGCAAAAATAAAATCTTTCCACTAATTTGAGCTCAATTTCAAGCTATTTCCAGTCCCTTTTTCAGTAGTACATCTTCCATTCTATCAACTGATACCAAGAAACAGCCAATAAAACCATAAAAACTATCCCCAAAGACACCTCAAAGTTGCTATTTTAAACTATACACAAGGTTACAGTTTGGTTTTCCCCATCATGCACTGTGTGAGCCAAGATTTTTCATACTGCGCACACTCTCCACACAGATCCATTCTTTGAGCTCATGACGTATGACTATGTCAGGAACCCTGGCCTCAATGCTATAGTTCTACATGATGGACAGTGAAAGGGTTAGCAAAGCAGTGAATTATATTACTTAAACAATGAAGTTGAAAATAATTTTAACAGTATGATACCATATAACCAAATCACAGTAATATAATACTTTTTTCTCAATAAATCTTTTCAATCTAGTACAATTTCATACTGCAAGAAACCAAGAAAAATACTGTACTTCCTATTTAATCACATTTTCTGTTATGATATGATATCAAAAGAAAATGGTGACTGGACAGTTTCTTGAGTCAGAAACAACCAGTGTTAAAATTATTTTCACTTTCACTGTTACTTTTCTTCTTTCA